GAAGGAACTTCAGCTGTGTCCACACCAGGATAACATTTTCATCTCCCTTACCTGACCCTTTGCATAGGAGAGACCACCAGAATCCCCAGGCTACATGCTGCATGGAGGAAATCCAGCATGTTAGGGCAGCAAAAGGAACAAATAGGACCATCTCCCCTGCTTTAGGAGAGTATTTTGTAGATGGAAGCTACCCCTCTCATTTTACAGCCTGAGAACCATCCTCTGGGCCCCAAAGGCATTGCTAGAGGCACCCAAGTTTCAACCACAAACTTCCTAGTCTAGATTCAAGTCTTGCCATTTGTCTGCCTTTTGGAGGCAATCGTACATTGGAGAACTCCCAGTTTGGAGATATTTTTTGATTGAGTAGATTTGGGCCTCCTGTGGGTGTAGGCCAGAGTGCAAATCTGAGGCAGCCACTCCAGAGGCTGTGAGCAGCAAGCAACAGCATCTCTCTGATTCCATCCGCTGCCCCGTGGGGGGTGGGGGGGGGGCCGGGGCGGGGGAGGGGCTTCTTAAAAGGCAAAGTCTCTTCCTGACCTCATTCCCTAGCACATCAAACCCTATCCACAGCCTCTCCACTCCTCTGAGAAAGCTCCAAGAGGCTAGGGTTGAGGGTCAGCAAAGCCCAAGGGTCCATCCTTTTTTAGGAATGACAGCTCCATCTCAGCAGCTTCTCTAGAAGCATCTCTACAAATGGGCCCTGATGTCTGCTTCCTACAGAGAGTGAGGTGGTGAGCATTTTCCTAGCACCTCACCAGTCAGACTGGAAAAGATAGTATGTTAAAGAGGGGGGTATGATTAGAGACGAGTTAACAAAGGGCAGATAGGAGCCTGTAAAATAGGGAATAGCTTTGGGCAGAATGGCAACATTTGTCTAAAGGATCATCTTTCCCCTAGCCATCCGAGCCCCCCTCTGCAACAATGCATGGCCCACGCAAGAATGGGTTTGAGAGGTTTAGGCTGCTACACTGGGGATGCCTAGTATTGTGCACAGAAGTAACACAGTTAGTGATTCCTGCCCAGTGAGATTTTCAGGGAGTATCCAACCTGGAAATTATCCTCTTCAAGAGCCAGGGCTACTTATAAATACTTCAGTGCAAAACAGAAAGAGAGAAGCTATTCCCAGACACTAAGCAACATGAATTTTTGCAGAGCAAACAGTACACCATCTGAGGCAGGCTTAGTAATGGTCCCCAAAGATATGGATGTCCTAATCCCCAGAACCTGTAAATGTTTCCTTATATGGCAAAGATCACATTGCAGATGTGATTAAGAATCTTGAGATGAGGAAGCGCCTGGGTGGCTCAGTTGGTTAAGCATCCAACTCTTGATTCCAGCTTAGGTCATGATCTCATAGTTCATGGGATTGAGCCCCACATGGGGCTCTGTGCTCTGTACTGACAGTGTGGAGCCTGCTTGGGATTATCTCTCTCCCTCTCTCTCCACCCCTTTTCCACTCATGTGCGTGCACATGCACTCTCTCTCTCACAAAATAAGTAAATAAATAAATTTTTTAAAGAAAGATCTTGGGCACCTGGGTGGCTCAGTCTGTTAAGCATCTGACTCTTGATTTTTGCTCAGGTCATGATCTCACAGTTTGGGAGTTCCAGCCCTGCACTGGACTCTGTGCTGACAGTGCAGAGCCTGCTTGGTATTTTCTCTCTCCCCACTGTTCACATTCTCTCTCTCTCTCTCTCTCTCTCAATGAATAAATAAACTTAAAAAAATTTTTTTAAAGGATCTTGAGAAAGGGAGATTATCCTGAGTTATCGGGATGGGCCCTAAATGTGATCACAAGTGTACTTATAAGAGGGAGGCAGAGGGAGCTCTTACTACAGAGGAGAAGGTGATGTGATGATGATAGCAGAGATTGGAGCGATGCCCTTTGATGGTGGAGGAAGGGGCCACAAGTCAAGAGACACAGATGACCATTAGAAGCTGAAAAACACAAGGAAATGGATTCTCCTCTGAAAACCTCCAAAAGGAACCAACTATCTGAAACCACCAGAACTATCAGAGAGTAAATTTATACTATTTTAAACCACTACATCTATGGTAATTGGTTAATAATAGACCATCTTTAAGCCCATCACTGTGTGTTATTTTTAACAGCTTTATTGAGGTATAACCGCACATATTTAAAGTGCACAATTTGATAAGTTTTGACATGTATACATTTGTGAAACCATCATAACAAGTTGGTGAACATATTCATTACTTCCAAAAGTTAACCCATGCACCTCTATAATCCCTCTCTCCTGGCCTCTCTCAGCCCCCTGCCACCTTCAGGCAACCACCAATCTGTTTTCTGTCACTTAGTTCATTTTATATAGATTAAATCCTACAGGATGCACCTTTTTTGTCTGGCTTCTTTCACTCCACCTAGTTATTTCTAAAATTTTTTTAAAATGTTGGGGCGCCTGGGTGGCGCAGTCGGTTGAGCGTCCGACTTCAGCCAGGTCACAATCTCGCGGTCCATGAGTTCGAGCCCCGCGTCAGGCTCTGGGCTGATGGCTCCAAGCCTGGAGCCTGTTTCCGATTCTGTGTCTCCCTCTCTCTCTGCCCCTCACCCGTTCATGCTCTGTCTCTCTCTGTCCCAAAAATAAATAAACGGTGAAAAAAAAAATTAAAAAAAAAATGTTTATTTATTTTTGAGACACACACACACACACACACACACACACACACACACACACACAGAGCGCAAGTGGGGAGGGGCAGAGAGAGAAGACACAGAATGCAAAGCAGGCTCCAGGCTCTGAACTGTCAGCACAGAGCCTAATGCGGCACTCGAACCCACGATCATGACCTGAGCCAAAGCTGGACGCTCAACCGACTGAGCCACCTAGGCGCCCCTCAACCTAGTTACTTCAAGACTCATCCGTGTTGTGTATATCTCAATGGTTCATTCCCTTTGGCTGCTAAGTAGTATTCCATTGCATAGATATCCTACAATTTGTTATACACTCACCTACTGGCAGATATTTGAGTTGTTTCCATTTTTGGCTATTATAAGTAAAAATGCTATGGATACTCATGTAAAATCCTTTGTATGCTTTCAATTTGGGTGAGGGTGGCAAATAATTATCAATGGAATGGCTAGATCATATTATAAATGTGTGTTTTACTTTTCAGGAAACTGCCAGACTGCTTCTCAAAGTGGTTATACCATTTTACATACCCGGTAGCAAGAACAGCTTGCTTTTATATTTTTCAAAACTATTTAAGATTTTCATTAAGTGAAACTCATCTCCACACCCCGAAATAAGGTAAATAATGCAGTATTACTGTAATGAAAAGCATGAATATAAGTGTCAGAGAGAAAAAGAGAAAATGAAGATCAGGGAAAAGAGATATACATAGAAATTAAGAATGGTAGTCAGAGGGAGGAAATTAGGGAAGAGGAAAGGGTCAAAGGTGAATGAGAGACAGCAAAAAGAGAGAGAGAGGAACACAAAGAATGGTATCAGACCCATCTAGAAACAGATGGCTCATGCAAACCAGGCTAGTTGAGATTTTGATAAAGGGACTATTTACAGAGGCTTAGGCAGGGCTTATGAAACCAACAATGGAAACTTCCTACTTTGGTTACCACCTTCTAGGCCTGAAGGGTCTCAGGAAAGGGAGATTCTGAGTACCCTCAGAGCACAGCTACAGGGAAAGGGTCACTCATTGGAAGCAGGATGCAGCCATCCCTCTTGAACTAGAAGGAAGCAAGCCTCTGGAATACACCTCTACCTCTTTTGCACCCATCATCTCTGTCTCCTGATGATGGCTTCCTTTAGCCAAACCCACCCAGAGCCAGAAGGCATCAGAGTATGTTGATGACATCCATATGAACCAGCCTCCCTGGTTGGGAATGGATAGGTCTGGAGGGGCAAAAAGAAGACCCCGGGTATAGGAGCCAACAGAAGAAAGGGACAAGGAGCTAAGCTGCTTTTCCATCTTCCTCTATTAATGACACGCACAAACTGAGAACACCATCTATAACTATTTAGAAATATGGCAAGGGAAGACAGCGCCTTGTGATGTGCAGGGCTGTGCACCAGAATTTTGAGTACAATTGGTCCATTCTGTTTTGAGATCTATTTTGAAGGGGCTATTAACTTGGGCTTTAAAAACAAAACAAACAAAATGATTAATTCTAAAACTGCTGCTGTTGCTGATCTTATTTTGATTGGATCCTTGTTAAAAAGGGAAAAACTCTTCTAAATCATGAAACACAGTACCTGTGGATTTGCGTGAATATGAACAAAGGAAGCAGGTATCTCCGGCATGAAGGCTTTAGTCTGAAGACTCTGGAGAGGCTTCATGAGAAAGACACAAATGTCTTTAAACCTTAGAGGAGATGCAGAAGGTTTAGTAGGACAGGTCCTCTTGGCAGATGGTTATTCCTCCTCTTTGTCAGATGACCTGCCTATTTCTGAGTTAATCATCTCCATTCTTCGTTTCAACATGAGGACTGCTGGCTAAAGAACAAGATAATCAAGGGAAGAACTCAAGCATCCATCAGATTGACTGGAAGAGCTGGAGGCTTTCTGTGCATCCTTATTTTTTAATCTCATACAACTTGGAACTACATCTCCCTTAAATTATATCCACATCCCATCTTTTATGGAATCTTTTGGGTGTCCATAAGCAAGTAATTTAAAATAAGATGTTTTTAGAACACTCTCTTTTCTCAGAAGGGAAAACTGAGGTCTTCTTTCTCACTCATTTTTAAAATAGAAGGTATAAACATCAGCGCCTGGTATGGATGAATTCACCAGCCACTTTTTACAAAGTGGACACTGAAGAGAAACCTCTGGATAATTGGTAGCAGTTTTGTTATCTGGATATGCAGTCAAGTTCCCTTAATTGGCACTTTTGGGTGATCTGGATCCTTTGCTGTCTTTGCTCAGAACCTCTAAAGGGGAACGTTAAGAAAAATCGAGCTTATTGCTATTAAGTTCTTCTTCCGTTTCTTGCAGTTCCCAGAATCTAATGAGGTGACACTAACAGGACAAGTAGTTTGCTCTGGTTCCACACATTTTGAGAGAGGTGGGAAGACTGTCAACAAAATGTTTCTGTTCATTTAACTCACAAATGTGAGACAGTTCACGGGTAGAGTGGAAAGCAGAGTTAAACATGAGGTAAGAGCTTGATATTCAAATTTCACTTATTTTACCAACTAGCTATATGTGCTCAGGTAGAATTTACCTAATTCCTCTGCATCTGTTTCCTTTAGCTTCCCAACAGAATGATTATACTTGACAAGACTAATCCACCTGACAGTTGACATAAGACCATTTAATGAAAGCAGCCCCGGGGCGGCTCCAGACAGGACAGATTTAATGGGATGAACAAGAAGTCTCACAAAATGCAGGTAAGAAATAGCCTCAGATAGCACAGCCGTTAAAAAAAAAAAAAAAAGGATAGAATCGAGCACAGAAGGGTCAATGCAGAATAGCAGCATGGGCAGAGTCCTCACACCTACAAAGAGTCAGAAACCATCCCCACACTGACAAATTAGCAGGAGGCATCTTGTAGAACATCTTAGAGTCTCCTCAGGAATACAACTGGCAAAGACTCTAGAAAAGCAAACTCTGAGGAAGTGCATAAGCAAAGGCACTGTATTAGTCTGCTAAGGCTGCCATAACAAAATATCACAGACTGGGTCCTTAAATAACAGAAATTGTATTTCTCACAGTTCCAGACGCTGGAAGTCCAAGATCAGGGTATTAGAAGGTCTGGTTTTCCCTGACACCTCTCTCCTTGGCTTGCAGATGGCCCTCTTCTTGCTGGGTCATCATATGGACTTTTCTCTGTGTGCTGGCTACAGTTTAGAAGACCTATCAGAACCCTCTGTATATCATTTATAGTTCATTATACAGAAACATGCCCATATCACCTGTCTTCTCATGCTATAACAGAGTTTGTCTGGTCTTTGTCCCAGGTTCCTGACACAGAGCTTCTACAATCCTGGGAATTTCCCAAGTAATAGAAGTGTACTTGTCAGTCATGAGCCCCTGGATCACACCTGAGTTTATGCTAATAAGATGACGAGCTGGGGGGTGGGGGGGGCGGGGGCAGCTTGTGGATAGCTTCAGGATGAAGGTTAGTCACTAGAAAGACCAACCACCTCATTAGAAGGTTGGGACTTTGAATAACAGCCCTACCTCCAGGGTGAGGAGGAGGACTGCAGATCACATTCAATCACTTGGTCAATGATTTAATCAATCACACCTACGTAATAAAATCCCAATAAAAACTGTACACTGAAGCTCAGGAGGGCTTCCTGGCTGATGAGCACATGGCTGGGCCAGGAGGGTGACAGCTTCTGATTCTCCCAGAGAAGGCAGGGAAACTGCATTCAGGACCCTCTAGACCTTGCACCACATGTCTCCTCATTTGGCTGGTCTTGTTCTGTATCCTTTTATAATAAATGTGTAGTCCTTAATTATAGTGCTTTGGGCAAATTATCAAGCCTGAGGGGGCTGTGGGAACCTCCCAAATTTGTAACCGGTTGGTCAATAGTGCGGGTGGCCTGGGAACCCCAAAGTGTGCCTGGCGTCTGAAGTGGCAGCACCCTTATGGAGGATCGAGCCCTCAACTCATGGAGTCTGCACTAATTCTGGGTGGCGGGGGCCAGAACTGGATGACAGTACACCAGGTGGGGTCAGACTAATAGGGGATGAAACAGAATCCAGGCCATATTTTGTTTTAGTTATCCTTAACTTCAAATCAAAGAACCTCTTGTCAAAGGGAGTAAAACATCTTGTCCCAAAACTAAGATATAGGCAGATGTGTCCACATTTGAGAAAAACCACTGGCTTTGGGCAGCTCAAAATTCAGATCTTGTTACCTGGTGGCCAGGTAGACTCCATGTAGCCCCCAGAGACTTAGTGCCATTCATGCTTTCTGCATTGGCCCTAACACCACTTGAGGGTGAAGCCTTGATATTCCCACTCCTCGGCACAGTGCAGCCACTGGTCATGTGTGTCTGGGAAGCATCGCCTTCCCTGACCTCAACGTCAGCACATCTGTCACCTCATAATATCCTGCCACAAACTTCCTCCTCAACAACCAATGTGCGCTCGATGTTTAGTGACTTCTGAAATGAAACCACAGGCTTTTATACTTTTCCAAAACCAGCTGATGACAGAAGCAGCATTCACCAACACAAACCCCTCCTTTCACACCCCTTCTGGATCAGCACACCCCGTAGCTTCCCTGAAAACAAACTAGCAAACGTTGAGTTGCACTCAAGATCGGTTCATCTAAGAAATTTTGTTGAGTATATTTTAGGATTGATTACAGTAAAACTTCAAGTCAGGGGTGCCTGACTGGCTCAGTCAGTGAAGCGTGTGACTCTTGATCTCAGAGTTGTGGTTTCAAGCCCCACATTGGGTGTAGAGATTACTTAAAATTTTTTTAAAAATCTAAAAAACAGACAAACAAAAACTTCAAAGCAGTAGTGAGCAGGGGGAAACCTCCTTTTCCAAAATGCTGTCTTAATAAGGCCTATTTGAGTCCAGATGGATCACAGTTTACATATTCAATATTGCCCAAGCAAGGCACATGAATTAGAAAGATCTGGTATTCATGAATACATCATTTACCAAATTCTGCCATTAACACTCTTTAGGCCTTTTTAATCATTTGTATTGTGAATTTGGTTATCAAATTTTTTATAACCAGAAGTAAAATCCCATTACAAATGACTCTTAATAATGCTTCTCTTTCAAGCCATCCACAAGTGGCAATGCTTTGGATCCCACTGGTAGTCCGTGTAATAGTAATTGTCCAGGAGGAAAATCCCCAATTGTGTATTCTCTTTATCATAGATACAGCTGGAAGAACTCAACCAGCCATGCACAGAGCAATTCAATTTTTCTCCCATCGCTTTGTAGCAAATGCTTTCTTAACCACTTTCCTCTGTCCCTGACCACGTCAGGCATCCCAACCATTCCTCCAAGAAAAACACATAAAAACCAAATGTGTTTCAATGTTCAGAAGTTGGAGAAAGAAAAGACATGGTGTGGCTAGCACTTTCCTCCTTGTTGTACTGGGTGCTGAGCTCCTGATCATGCACTTCAGGGTCTGAAGCCTCGTCCTGATTCAGCCCCAGGTTCTATAACCCTGTCACCGCTGTCTTCTGCCTGAGCTGGTTTCATAAGAACCACATAAAACCACAGGGTACAGAAAGAGCTAGTAGACCCTCCCCGAGCTTCTCGAAATCTCTCCTTTATTTTGTATAAAGATGAAGTTTATCTACAGGTTCCCATTCTTGGTTGACCTTATCAAGATGTCTAGGGCTCTTTAAAAATCCATCATTACTAATTGTGTTCCTGAGTATATAAGATTAATATTCTCTATTGAAGAGTGGATGGTAGAAAATATATGGCATATATAATTTACACACACACACACACACACACACACACACACACACACAATCTTATTTACATATTTTGCCTCTGTTTTATTTCTATGAGATTTGGGATTATGCACCTTCTCATATAACTTTCCACTTTTTTCAAAACATTTTCCCTTAACATAGTATTCAGAGATATTTTTAGGTAGCAGTTGCCAGAAAAGAAGGAAGTCAAAGTGCTTTAATAAGCATTTACAGTTTTCATCAAAATGAGTGTTTTTATATACAACTGGTCCTTCTAAGTATATAAATGTAGTCATACTAAACCTGAAAATGTCATTGATGAGATTTTTTTATCCCCCAATAATTGGACCCACTACGAAGCCAACTAAGATTGTTAAGCATAATTTTTTATTCTCAAAGAAAAAAGAATTTTTTTAAAAAGATAAAAACCTCTTGGTCACAGCAAGAACCCAAAGGACTACTCTACCTGCCTCTTTGCATGTATTTTCCCTCAAACACACACATACAGAAACCTACTTCAAACAAACCACTACCATTAACTCAAACCTGATCAATAAAGTCAGCAGAAGAGGGCCTCTGTCCATGCCATTAGAGAGAAAATACACCACCATTATTTGGGAGGCCTGGGGAGAAAAAGATCTAAAAAATCCCCCCCGCCCCCCGGAAATAGTTAGAAAAGTAAATACCAGTCTCTTAGATTCTGGGAATGGGGCAATGTGGGGTGGAACTTATTATACAGGATATTCATAAAATCCTTGTGCTACTTTAAATTTAACGTTAGAGTTTTGTTAAATCTGGTGGTAGAAAGAGCTAAAACACATGCATTGTGAGATGAAACAGTAAATTTTGCTCTGCTCGCTGCAGTGGACTTCAGAGCTGTCGGCCACAGGCCAATTTGTCTTTTCATCTACAGAAAGCACTTGTTATTTCCTCAGGAGCTGGATTAAGACAACATAGCAGTTCTGTAAGGGCTCAGGATGGACACCAACCAGCATCATTCAATGCAGGTGGAACAGGGGGTGGAGTCAGCAGGGCCAGCGGCCTGCCCTGCCAGCCTCCTGTTGGAGCAATGTGTGTTGGCGCCAGATGAATGGAATGTGCTGTGGAGATGTCCAGCACAGTGCCCACCCCTTGTTCTCCGCCATTTTAGGAGAGGTGTATAAAAGTGGCGGCATGTGGGGAAATAAACATTTTTTTCTGAGAGAGAAAGAGAGAGAGAGAGAGAGAGACAGAAACAGAGCACAAGCAGGGGAGGGGCAGAAAGAGAGGGAGACACAGAATCCGAAGCAAGCGCCAGGCTCTGAGCCATCAGCACAGAGCCCAATGTGGGGCTCTAACTCAGGAAGCACAAGATCATAACCTGAACCGAAGTCAGACGCTTAACCCACTGAGTCACCCAGGCAACCCAGAATAAATACTTTAGATATGCACACCAAACAGTTTTCATCTTAAGTGCCTACTGTTTAGGGGGATTCTCTAATATGCCTCAGCTTCCTTCGAAAACTTGAGAGCCCTCAGTCATGTGGACAGTGAGTCTGAGAGCTGGCTCATTGCCACACAACTTAGAGATTCCAGAGGCAGGATCCCACCCTAGATGGTCCTGTTTGTCTCCACTGCAGATAGCTGTACACAGTTGTATATGCATATAATCACAATGTATACTAGTATACACTTGTATCGAGTTTTTTTTAACTAACAGATTTTATATTTTAGAGTAATTTTAGATTCACGAGTTGTAACAAATGTGTTACTCTGGTGGCTGATGTTGACAGTGGGAGAGGTTGTGGCAGGGGGGACGGGGTGGGGAAGTAGAGGGTATAAGGGAAATCTCCGGACATTCCATTCAGTTGTGTATTCGTAATGTTCATAGTTCAATAGTTAAACACATATGCTTATACTTGCCCCTTCCAGAGATGTCCCATCATACACATGACCTAAAATAATACAGGTGATCATTGCAACGTGATTTCTTTAATCCTACCTTGAAACTGAAACTCTGGGTCCCCTCAAAGACTCAGAAGAGTTGATCAGCAGCATTAACGATGACAGCCTTGTTTTCAGGCAAAATTCTGAGAGAAAAATTCATTTATGCCCACTGAGCACTTCATACTGTGGTGGTGTCCTAGATGTTAGCATATTGGTTCTTCCCCCCTGTTTCTTTCAATTTTTAATAGCTTTGCCATCACCCTAGCTAGAAATCATAAAGCCATCTTTGCTTTGTCTTCATTCATCAGTGCCCCCACCACAGCCAGTCACCTAAAGGTCTAATTTTACAAGTCTCAAATGTGGTCACCTCCTCCCAAGCCCCAATGCTCCCCTTGCTCACACGCTCAGCGCCCCCACCTGGCCTCCTTAGTGGTCTCCCTCAGACCCATCTATCCTCCATAGCCACCACTGCTGTCTTTCATTCATTTACCAAATGTGGATTTCTTACCACGAATAAAATTGTACGTCTCTTACTAAAGACACAAGGGTAGATAAGACACTTCCTCTGCTCTCAAGACACCTGGGTGGTTCAATTGGTTGAGTGGCCAACTCTTGATTTCAGTTCAGGTGATGATCTTAGGGTCACAGGATCGAGGCACACATTGGGCTCCGCACCAGCCATGGAGCCTCCTTGGGATTCTCTCCCTCTACTCCTCCCTCTACCTCTGTCTCTCACTTTCTCTTTCTCAAAAAGAAAAAAAAAAAAAAAACACCTCTCAGACTCTCAAGGATCTCACATCTAAAATGCAAATTTCTGGGGCGCCTGGGTGGCTCAGTCAGTTAAGTGTCCAACTTCCGCTCAGGTCATGATCTCACATGATCATGAAGCCTGCTTTGGATTCTGTGTTTCCCTTTCTCTCTCTCTGCCCCTCCCCTGCTCACGCTCTGTCTCTCTCAAAAATAACTAAACATTTAAAAAACTAACTAAATAAATAAAATGCAAATTCCTTTTTGTCACTCACCTGCCTGAAATTCTCCAGGGGATCCCCATTGCCTGTAGGATGAAATCAAAACCTATTAGCACAGCACAATTTGTCATTGTTCATACTCATGGGATCTGGCCCCCATCAGATGGTTCTGCCTCATCTCCCAGCATTCTGCCACACACACCCAGGCTGCAGCCACCTCAGCTCCCTGTAACCTGTTCACCCCTCCAAGACTCACGAAAACCACCTCCTCCATCTGGAAGCTCCTCCCTCTAGGAAATTCCTAGAATTTTCTTCAAAACAAACAAAATCTCCCCCCTACCTCCCTCCTCTGATACAATAGAGTCCTCCTTCCTCTTCATATGTGGCTGTACAATTTCCGCACATGTCTGTCTCCCTGGGGACTGCCAGCCCCGGAAGAAGGGATGAGCAGGCAATTTCATTCATTCATTTATCATGTATCATTTATGCCTGCTGTCTGCAAGGGCTTACAGACATCCCGTCCAGCCCTCTCAACAGTCCCGAGTGGCATTAAGATGTGGAAGAAAGGAAAGAACGCAGGAGGCAAGCAGAGGCAGCCCTCTGGGTCACTGCCTAAGGTCCCCACAAGGCATTACTTTGGAGAAGTCACCATGGCTGAATGTCTTCCTCAGACTTATAGGCTCAGAAACCTGATTCTACCAGCACAGAGAGAATGGGACAGCCTCTCAGGGGTGCCAGCATCTCCGAGACTCTAAGCTCCCAGAGTGCAATGTGGATAAACAAGAGTGCCAAGTCAGTCATTTCCCACATGTACCACAGCATGTGCACAGCACCTACTATGCGCCACACGCTGAGTACTCTTACATGATTTACCACACTATTCCTCACAAGTAGGAGCCAAGTACTATTAACATCTCCATTTTATAGATGAGAAAACTGAGGCACAGGAAGGTCCAGTCACCTGTCCAAGGTCACCAGCTAGGAAGAAGCAGAGCCAGAACTTTTTTTTTTAACACTTCTGCTTCTTACTGAACAGGCTACAGAAGAAGTTTAGTCAGACAGACCAAAGCACACGTCCTCCTCAGACTCCTCAGCTTCTTCTTCGCTTCCACTCCCTCCTCAGCTGAGACGGCAGCAGTGCAGGGCACAGGTCCACCAGCCCTGAACTACGCAGATGGGGCTCCCGATGTTGACATCAGCCAGGGCCTTTGCAGACAAGCCTCGCCAAAAAGGTTGAAACCTTTACACCCGCTGCTTCAATAAGGGCACTGATCCTCTCCTCCATGACTGTCACCTCATTGTCGTGCAGGATGAGGGCCAAGTACATTCAGGGGAGCTCCCAGATGAAGGCCTTGGTGCAGGCGTACTAGGCCAGTGTACCTGGCCCAGTGCTAGTCACGGAATGAGGCAACGCCCTCACCCAACGCAGCCTTAGTTTAACTTCCTCACAAAGACCAAGCACCTTGGTGGCAGCTGAAGAAAGCAGCGAGTAGAGCTTGAACTTGAACGTGGTCCTGAAGTTGCTGTTTTTAACTATTTTAGTGAACAATGAGAAACAACTTTCAAAGGGACCGGGTATTTTCCTCCTCTAGTGGAAAGGCTTATGCCTGTGGGGCAGGCTATGTGGGAAGCCAAACAGTGCCACACAGAGGGTTACAAGAGGGTTACCTGCCGAGCAGGTTACCGTGACTCAAGGCTTTGAGGGGGTCAGAGAAGCCTAATGCATCCCTGTCAGCAAAAAAAAACCACTACACCTCTCCCTCACCCGAGCAGTGCTTAGCCAGTGTAGACACCTGCCACTCTTCAGGGCTCTGCGGTTCCTCAAATCCTGTTCTAACAAGTTAAGGTCTTTATTCAGGCTTCAGTCCATCTCAAGTGGCCTTTCTGCCTCCTTCATGTGACATGGCACTTCTCTGCTTCGAGCTGTTTTGTGCTGATTGTAGGTACAGCTCAGAGAGCACGTAGCTGCCCATTCCCCGGCTCACTGTTGTCCCCTCATTCTGCCTCCAGGTAATATGACCCATATTTGAGGATGACAGAACAATGATCAAGGTCACAGAGCTGGTCCCCAAAGCAAGACCTGAACCTAGGCCTTCTGAATGCTAATCCTACTCTTTCTCCCTTGCCAACTATGTAAGAGAAGAAACTGTTAAGATCTGCAGCTACCCTAGCACCACTGGCCCCAGATCCTTGGACCCAGTCAGGTGCATCTGCTTCCTCCCACCTCGCCCTGGCCTCAGCAGCCCACCCCAGTAGGCTCCCCTTGTTCCGAGCCTCTGTGGTGTCCCCCACCTCATACCCCCAGAGACTCTGGCTCCACTCCATGCCCTACCCTTGGTTTCCATCTGCACCATACCTCATGGGGTAGTCTTGCCTCCCTTGCCACTCGGCCAACACCTCCCTCACCTCCCTCTCCTGCCATCTGCAACACAAGCACTTTGTCACTGGCTCTGCTCACCTTCAACCTCCACACTGCAGCTCTCTGTTCCTTGGCCTTCAACCCTGAGATTCCCAGATCTCCGCCACTTCAACTGGACTCCCAGGCGGGCCCACCCCCTACCTGTTGCCCTCTGTCTACCTTCAGGATGGCTTCAACTGCTCACCCAATTATTTGGCACACTGACTGAATGCTCTGGATTTTCCAAGGCCACCCTGATTTTAACTATTCTGTCCCATCATCCAACCATTTGGCCCAATTCTGGAATCAGAAACATAGTCAATGGAGATCTGTCGCACCTGGATATCATTTTCAAAATTGGTACCACGTGCATAGGATACAAAATTCAAAAGGCATCAAAGAAAATAGAGGACGGGGTGCCTGGGCGGCCCAGACAGTTAAGCATCCAACTTCGGCTCAGGTCATGATCTTGAGGTTCGTGAGTTCAAGTCCCGCATTGGGCTCTGCTATCAGAGCAGAGCCTGCTTTGGATCCCCTCTCTCCCTCTCTCTCTTTGCTCCTCCCCTGCTCGTGTGCACATGCTCTCTCTCTCTGAAAAATAAACAAACATTTAAAAATATTTTAAAAAAGAAGAAGAAGACGATGACGACGGAGGGTAAATTAGGTCTCTTCTCAGCCCTGGTCCCCAGGCCCACGGGCCTCAGCTCTCCTACTCAGACACCATGCCTATGAGCACTTTCTCACCCTTCCAAAGAGGCCACAAATCTCTGACCTGGATGGGACTGGCCATGTTTCAGCAACAGCATTGGTCATTTCTTAATCATTTATAAATTAAAAAATTATTTAAAGAATGAAATTAGAAAGCTCAGCTTCAATCCCACTCCCTAAATGAATTCATGTCGTTTCCCCGAATGGCATTCCACTTTTTATCTATGTGCACACGGTTTTCGTTGTTTAATCAGGGTAATGTGAAAAGTTTAGTTCTACTCCCATCGCTAATTTCATACACACATTTAATTTTCATTATTTTTTAATAGCTTACATAATATTCATGTGGGCTAAAACCCAATTACTGGGTTTTTATTTCAAGTTTTAACAACTATAAATAATATCAGTATAGCCACCTATATAACTTTTTCTTCTTTGCATTATTGCTTTAGGATAAGTTCCCGGACTGGTAGTATTGAGTGTAAGGGACAGTTCCTGTCATATTTAGCCAAATAATTCTTAGAAAGTTGACAGCAGTTTGTAATGCCTCATACAGGAATGAGGATACATCTTACTCTCATTCCATCAAATACAATAATTGTACTTTATCAACAAAAAAATGCTTTCTCATACTGTTCTCATTTACATGTTTTTGTAATAGATAATGTAAAAGATAAGAATAGATAATTCAGGTCAATGCCACCTATTTAGGTTTCTGTGTTTAATGCAGACTTCTGTTAGAAGCAGTCCTCAGAACTAATTGGAAAAAGATGACTGGTTGGGTTTCTAGGACCTTGAAGAGGTCTTTGTGGCATCCCACATGGAGGGCAGTTTGGCAAGGTTATGAATGAATGGACACATTCTCTCTCACTCTGTCTCTCTCTCTCTCTCTCCACCCACCCCCATCCTTGGTGATATCTTTCCATATTCACCACGCTATTTTTATGTTACTAGAAAGGGCAATAGTCTTTCCAATTTGCATTCTTTTAAAAGTGATCTTTTCCAGCGGTGCCTGGGTGGCTCAGTCAGTTGAGCATCTGACTTCAGCTCAGGTCATGATCTCACAGTTCGAGAGCTCAACACCCACACTGGGCCCTGCGCTGACAGCTCCGAGCCTGGAGCCTGTGGCCTGCTTCAGAGTCTGTGTTTGCCTCTCTCTCTCTGCCCCTCCCCTGCTCATGCTCTGTCTCTCTCTCTCTCTCTCTCAAAAATAACTAAACATTTTTAAAAACATTTTTAAGTAATCTTTTCTTTTTGCATGTTATTGTAGATGTTTTTTCCTTAGTATGCAAAATGTACATAAGATCCTCCCACTTTGGAGAGCAAAACTTGGACTCTTCACTCACTAGTTATATCCCTTGGACAAACCACTCAGCCTCTCAGAGGCTAATTTCTGTCAGCAAAATGAGGGAATAATATTATCTGTCTACCTCATATAGTTGTTGTGAAGGGCAAATGAGAACACGCACGAGTGTGAGAGCTATCTCGTAAATCACAAGTCGCTCTTGAAATGTTGTAAGGACTCTATGAGACCATAGGTTCTTCATAGATTTCAAATCTACCCTCTTATTGGTTCTGGGGAATATATTACTGCATCTTTAATTATTGATTTAGTCCCTTTTATTTTGTCTACTTATCCGGAAAATCTAACTATGAAGAAATTGCAATGCTGAGCTCTATTCCCCAGAATGGCCCTCCTGAACTGTTTAATTTCTTAGTTCAGTTTCTTGAAATTCTGGATATATCGCTGAAAGTTTTTTTAGTGTTTTTTAAACTGATTTAAGTGCAATTTCTTCTTTGTACAGCTTAAACAACAACCTCAGTTTGTCTTTTGCAATGATCGTTACCTTCATTCTTTTTAATTCCGACCTTCTCTCACTTGAGAAGATATCGTTATCCGTTATCCGTTTCTTTGAAAAGGGGCTCCAACTGTTTTCTGAATTCTTTGTGTGGTTCCCTGTGGTTGCTCTTTTTCAGGATTAATTAAAATAAAGTTTTTTGTACCTCCTTTTTTCTTTTTTGAGTGATGACACTATTTCAGGGAGGCCACATTAATTTTTCCAGTTTAATGCATTCTCCCTTAAGTTACCTTAGTGACTGATCTCTGTGGTACTGCTGAAATTTCTTTAGTAAAATTTCTGATTGATTTTAATACAATTTGTGATGAGGAGTTTGGCTGGGTTTCTACTCACTCCACCATCTTCCTGGATAATTTTCCTACAATGTCGGGTCTTTCTATCCTCTGGTTCGATCTTTCTTTCCAGAAAGAACACAAAGACCAAAGATGGGATTAGAAACAGAAAGCCAAACATTTTCAACAGAAAACTGGAAAATGTCTTTTTGTGCTTTGTTGCTGCTGTCTTAACAGTTCAGGTGGAACCTAAGAAAAGGGGAGCAAGCATGGAATACTGAAAATCTTACCACAAACCCCTTAATAACTCGACGTATTAACTACATTCCTAAAATTTCTGAACCTTCCAGGCATCTTGCAAGCAGCAAAGTCTCTGTTGGTTTCTCCTGCTATAAATGAGGGAGATGCTAAATTATTTCCAAGGTCTTTTTCCAGCTCTGAATTTCTTCAACATTAAATAATATTTAAGCTGTAGGTTTAGGCATTGATTGATGTGACCACAATTATCCCCACTTCCTGCTACCTCACCTTCAAAATAGCCACATGTGGGGGCTCAGTCCATTGGGCAACTGACTTCTGCTCAGGTCATGATCTCACGGTTGGTGGGTTCGAGCCCCGTGTCGGACTCTGCGCCGACAGCCTGGAGCCTGCTTCGGATTCTCTGTCTCCCTCTCTCTCTGCTCCTCCTCCACTGGCACTCTGTCTCTGTCTCTTGAAAATAAATAAATGATTAAAAAAAATTCAAAATAGCCACATGTATTTATGAACATGCACAGGAGTGTACACACACACACACACACACACACACACACACACTTCCTACTTTGATTTCTTCATTTGTAAATGTTTTAAATCAACTGTTATTAAATGTAAAATGAACCAGCAAAAGGGACAGTGAGGAAACTGAATAGGAAATTCCTATCTCTGAATCATGGCAGCTCTGCTACTCCAGATCAGCTCCAACACATGAGGTGCCTAAGTCTAGACCCCACATAGCAGCGCCCCCATGGAATATGGGTGAGGTACCAAGTCTCCACCCAGTCTGGACTCTGAGGGGAGGCCCTGTGGCCCTCTAGTGGAAACACTGTAGAATAGCAGCCTTCCATGTCTCCAAAAGGGTACATACAGGAGCCCAACTGAGAAGAAAGCCTCTCAGCCCCATTGACCTGAAACCCTAACCACGCACCTACCTGTAAGGGACAGGCTAGGTCTTTGCCTCAGAAATGGTGACCTGTGTCATTTTGAGGCAGCTATCCCTGTAGCTGCTAGATTTGAGGCTCAAGAAAACTAGGCTGGATTTCAAACTGGGTAATGTTAAACAGCCTACATCTTTACTAGTATTTTGGGTAATCCCTGCAGAAGAACATTTTTTTAATTCAGGCAATTCAGAATGAACTAGAGCTCTTGGCTATCCTTTGAACTTCAGTTACCCTTAGCTTACACTGTCCAAACTTGCGGCTCAAGAAGACATCTGTAGCAGCTAGTGGCAGAAAAGTGAGGGGTGGGATAGTTTTGACAGGTTGTGAATGGGAGGGTGTGGCTCCCTTAAATATTGATCAGCCAATACTTAATGCATGTCTCTTTGCCTATTCATTCATTTTTTCTATTAAAAATTTTTTTATTTGTTTTTGAGACAGAGAGAGATGGAGCACAAGCAGGGGAGGGGCAGGGAGAGAAGAACACACTGAACCTGAAGCAGGCTCCAGGCCCTGAGCTGTCAGCACAGAGCCTGATACGGGACTCCAACTCACAAACCACAAGATCATGACCTGAACCAAAGTCAGACTCTCAAACGACTGAGCCACCCAGGCACCCATGCCTATTCATTCATGTAAGCAACGAGTATTTGTTACTTCATATTGTGCCAGTCATTGCCTATTTGCTCTCAGTTCTCTTCCCTGCCCTTCTCCTGCAAATCCTGTTCCCTCTTTACCCTCTCCAATTGCCTTCCAGTTAGAATGGCCCATGGAAGGCAACAGTAACAGGTTGGACATTGGGAAGCAGGAGAAGCCAGGTTATTTTTCCCATCCCTCTGTACCTTGAGTATCATTTTCCTGCAATGGGCCCAGCTCTTCACCACACAGCTTCTCCCATCAGGGTCCTTGGCAGTCCTCACCATGGCACAGCCTGTTTCTGATTCTAGTGACACCATCCCTCTCCTGTGTCCTTCGAGTCTCCATGGTAGCAGCAGCTTTCTGCTGGCACTAATACCTGATTATTTCTCCAGCCCATTCAGCTTCTCACCTCTGTCCATTACATGTAATCAACTCCCTGGTTTGTTTTGGTTTTTTTTTAATGTTTATTTACTTATTTTGAGAGAGAGCAGGGGAGAGGCAGAAAGAGGGGGACAGAGAACCCCAAGCAGGCCCCATGCGGTCAGCACAGAGCCCAACACAGGGCTCAAACTCATGAACCGTGAAATCATGAGCTGAGCCAAAGTGGACTGAGCCACCCAGGCACCCCTCAATTCCATTTTAAGTCCCCTCTTTGAAGTGTCCAGGAGGAATCTGTTGTACTTGGTAATAGGGATACAGCAGTGAGCAAGATAGGCTCAGTTCCTGATCTCATGCTGCTCATAGTCTACAGCAGAAAACCAGTTTAAATAAACAATCTTAGTGTAAGTATTTCA